GTGATGGTACACCATGCAGATGAAAAAAATTTCGACTATTATCAGCTGAAAAAGGAACTGTTGTGTCATTTTATGTCTTGCGATAGTGATTATGAAATTATTAGGCAGATGATGGAACGTAGACAACAAGTCGGGGAAACGTTCGAACAATTTTACGCGGATATAATTTGTCGTTTAGGCTTAGGAAGAAGATACCCGAAAGAGAGTTAGTATAAACTATAAAAAGTAACTTAAGAGGGAATTTGACTACTCTTGTGTTTTCGGCATCCTTTGCTTCGACAGCGGACCTCATCAGTGAGTGTAAAAGAAGTGAACGTCTGTTACAAGAAAACCGGAGTAAAGGGTGTCCAGTGTCAGAAGTTCACTATGGGGATACCGTAGAGCCGGGAATTAGAGAGAACGAAATAGTGAGAGTAAAGGCTGTTGTAGACAGCAAAATTAAACAACAGCGTTACAAATACGGATGAATAAGAAATTCTTCACCTAATAAGAAGAAAGTGATGAATGGTGTGAATGAGTCATGTAAATAGTCGTTTCACTTTTTGCGATGTTTTATATGTGATAGTGAAGTATCGTATTGTGTGTTTGAAGAGGGAAACCAAGTAATGACAGTGTTAAGACGAAGAGAACTTGATGTTCAAACGACAGTGTTATCTGTTATAATGGAACATAAAAGTCTACACCAGCGTAAATTGGATTATGAACGTAAAAGAGCAAAAATATTTAATGAAGAGGTGTGATTTAGAAATTTTAAAAAAATTAAGAAAATTAGGGAAAAAACAGCTTTGTTTAAACGTTGTAAGAGAAAGTTAGTGTCTGCTATAGTGACTTTAGATAGTGATAATAGATTTTTTGCAAAAACTGCGATAGATGCGGAAGAAGTGTTAGCTTTATTGAACTCAGGAGCTAGTGCAAACTGCACTGGGAAAGATGCCGCCAAATTTCTTGAAAAACGGTAAAACCAAATGATTTCCTTAAAGAATCAGAAAGTTAAAACAACAAATGGAGGGGAGACCGTAGTCAGTTGTAAAAAATAGAATTAAGTCTGGTTAAAACAAATTGGCATTACTTTTAAAATATGTTAAATACTTTTTTTGTATATTTTCTTTTTGTGTTGTGTACAATATGAAAAAAAATTGTAAATACTAAAAATAAATTAATTTAAATAAAAGAAAACAAAATGAATATAAAAAGAGTCGTGGTAAGCATTTTCTATCTTATATTTTTAAATTAATTTACTTATTTATGTATTTGAATTTATTAGTAAATGTAATGCATATATGATTTAACTTTAATTTTGCAACATATTTCTAGTGGACATTCACAATAGACTCATTTTTGAATTTGGCAGCACTGAAACTAAAACCATACAATTTTTTACGCGTAAAACCTAACTCTGAAAATTTCAAAAGCATGTTGTTGCTCAACATGTTTTCTTAAGAAATTGTAAATATTTTTTTGCTACTCCGAAAGAAAAAATTACAGTTATTTTTATTATTATTATTTTTAGGTCACAACATGAATTTTAGAACATTGGCATCATTAGGGTTTTTCTTTTGTAAGCATATCGTTAAAGAACAACATAAAAAAATATTATTTTTGATGCTAACTCTGTAAGAACCGGAAATGTTGTTAGCTTTATATATGCAAAACACATAATGAAATTTAAAGTTAAAGTTTCGAAAATTAATAATAAATCTTTGTTCTTTTAGTAAGAACATTTAATTTTTTATATGACTGCGAATAAAATTTGATTTAATTAATATAAGATTTATAATAATATAATACAAAAACAGAACAAAAATAACATCTTTGAAACAAAAATAGGCAATTTCCAAAATTAACTTTCAAGTCTTTGAACTTATGTTTTCAAATAAAGCTGTAGTTTATAAGCTCGTTCTAATTTAAAAGTACAGCTTCGGTAAGTGTCACTAATTAAAGATATAAGTGCAATAAAGCCTGGAACTTGAGCATTAAAAGTTTGTGCAGCCTTGGCTACTTGTGGATAAACACGATTAGTCATCGCTTTTAAATTGACAGGCACGAGTTCTAAGCCTGGCACTTGCAGTCCAAACAAATTATATACTAACTATAAACTAATTATTTCCTAAGACCACTGATGATGAGTACATGACAATACTCGAAACAGCGTTGTCTGGTCAGCCAAATTTCAATAAATTAAATAAACGTTTGTCTTTGCCCTTTATTTGCTATTCAAATCCGTCTAACTTTAAAAAAGAGAATCTTTCAAGATATGTGGAGATAAATTTAATCTATTCTCGATCTTTTTCTTTAAATACTACTACTGCTAAAACTTTCTTTCTAACTACATTTTAAAAATTTTTGAAATTTTAAGACGAGAAATTTTTTTCCGTAATGAAACACTCAATACAATTACAAAAAAATATACTCTTGAGCAAATGGTCAGCTTTTGCGACCTGTAACATACTTTTCACCAGAAAACTGCCCTTTGCTCTTTCGTCCCCATTTTCCTAACGCATTACAATACATGTTTTGACAATGCCAGTCGCATACATTATACACACATGTATATATCCGAGCACATACGATGGTTTTAAAAAGAACTCATTGTTTATTTTGGCATACTCTTTGTGTTTGAGCATTGAAAAATAAAGTAAATAAAATTTTACAATTTTAGTTTCAAATAATCTTCCTGAATTAAATATTATTCGTAACTTAAATTACTTCTTGTGGGAAATTAGGAAAGTTTATGAATTTGTTAACATATCTTTTAAGAACGCTATAAACCATTGACTACGACATTCGTACGTATGTGTGTGCTAATATTGAAACATCCTTGCAAAATGCACATCCTGTCAAGAAACTATGGTCAAAGTTGTGTCCACGTATAAATTATTAAATGAAGTCCTTAGGCTATGCACATGCATTTGTGCTTACAATGGGGGTTGTTAGCACTCGATAATGTATTAGAACTGCTTATGGAAATTCCTTCAACACATGTGCGCAATACCCAAAGTTTGGTTTAACGATGGAAAATGATGTGTTTTTTCCAAAAGTAATATTTATGCTCGCATTTTCACATTTATATAATAGCACAACCAGTAAATATGGTTACTCCATATAGCCCTCCATTATATTTGAAATAGCCTGTAATATCTATATGATTATATTAAAACTAAATATTAATAAAAAAGATTAGCGTAGCTATTTGTCTTAATTTAAGTCAATAAACTAAATTTATGTCCCGCGTGTTACTGTCCGATAGAAATTTCATCCTTTGCTTTAGAAAGCTATTAAAACTGTAATAATGATTAACAGGCTTACAGTCCTATACCTGCTTACGAAAAAGTGAATTTAGTACTTGTTATCATATGTTGCCATTCCTAAATTTCGTTATTCCGTCATATTTTGTGTTATCATTCTCAGTAAAATAAGTTTACGAATTAGTTTTTTCACTGCACCTCGAATATTTCAAGGATTTCAAATTTCTAACACGCACTTTTGTAGGTTAGCACCAAAATTTATTGTATTGCAAAATTACTGGTGGGCAATAACGAATTTATAATAATTAGTAACTATATGTTATTCTATATCTGTACTATTATTCTATGAATTCCACAATTATCTGAAGATTATGCTAACAGTTAATTCACCTGTATATGTTAACTTAATTAATGTACCTAGAAACATTTTATTTATGTAGCGCCAGAAAGTTTGAATATAAATAACTGCTTTTATTATTTTGTTTTTTATATGTTTATGGAGTAGATTGAAACACACTGTTTCTGTCTTAGAACATACATTTTCACCTTTTTCTGAAGTTGAAAAACAGACTTATGATTTTTTCGCTATATCCATTTAGCTCTATTTTTCCATTTAACTCTAAACCACTCAGCTAGGAGACATTCTGCTCGAATGTTTTCATCTTATCTTATTAGCTTATAAACATCGTGAGGATCATGGCCCATGATGCGCCTTAAACAGCCTCTCTAGGTTACTGTTAACCTCTACCTTTGCGCGGTGATCTCTGATATCATAGAGATGAGTCTCTGACGACCGAGTATGTGGCGGTATATCCACGCACACCACCTGGTATCTAAAGGAAATGTCAATAGCATTGTCGTTGCCGTAGCGAATTCAGAAGCTAGCTGTCACATATAAAACAAAATGAAGATAGCAGCCCTAACACTGGACTAAGCGGGTACGGGCTAATGACCCATATTTCGTCGAAAAAAAATGTACTATTCGAGTATCTACAAGAAATAAAAACAAAAATCGGATAACATACAATGGAAAAACGTTGACGACTATACACAATCATTCCAGAACTACATTCGGACAATGGAGCATAGTTGGTGTAATATCAACCTTGAGTTGTATATCATTGGAAATCGGTCATGACATGGTGGCCCGGTATGTTTGTCAGTTTTGGGATGGGGTTCTTGAGTCCTAGATACATAGTTGACTAACAAATTTCTTCTTACTATCTATTCAAAGAAACTATAATCTACATATAAACTTTATAATTTTTCTCTATTTTACCTTAAAATTTTTCTTCCCATCATCTAAAAAAAAATATATAACAAATACAATAACTACTGGCGTATATTATTCCTACTCTTAGACTCTACACTTCGAAATTTGAAGAAACATTCATCATACAGAATATGTAGGATCTTTTTCTCCATACGAGTGAATTAAATACGCTAAATTTGTACTCAAGGGTACCTCTGAACTTCTAGGTAGCCATCCAGCCTTTCCGGGGCTCATTCCTTGGATTTGCAGTGTAGTCATGACTTTCTATGGTAATGTGTGAATATCTTGTTTTTTTTTTTAACGAGGTGTAAAGCATCGAGACTTTAACTCACTAAAGTCACCCCGATGTCCGATGGTTAGCCCTCTCGGGATCACCTCTCGGGATTTGGTATTTCGTCAAGAGGCCGTCCAGAGCACAAAGTTCAAACGTCAGTTTTTTGTCGTCATTTCATTACAGTTTTCATACAGTATGTATGCATTCATTATCGTTGCACATGTATCACTGCAGCTGTTCTTCTTTCCTCTTCCTGAAGTCGCAAACGTCGCATAATTTGGATTGCGAATGTTTTAACTGCCTTCCATTTAAAGCTACTTGAGCACATTTCATGTACAATGCTGCAAGGAGATTCCTTACTGTTGGGTATAATTGTATATGTCCAACGTCCCTTAGAGGACTGCTGCCATCTCTGCTGCCATTCTCTAAATGAATATACGAGTTCGGCAGATTTTTGATCTATCGTAGGTGCTATGCCTTGCCTGTCATAAAGACGGCTTAACTCTTTTGCATGTATGTCAACCGGCAGTTTTCCAGCAATGACGCAGATTGCATCATCAGAGACTGTTCTATAAGCGCAGGCAAAACGTAACGCACTGCGTCTGTGTATTTGTGCTACCAAACGTATCTGATGCTTTTTTGCTGCTGCCCATATAGTGGCATAAAATATAATAGAGTCCGTGACCGTAGACAAAAGACGCCTTCTTTCGCCCTGAGTATTAGGAAGAATTCGCTTTAATGCACTATTCACTGCCGCTACCTAAGAGCTTACTGCTCTAAGGTGCTGTTTGAAGCTCAGTCTTGCATCGATCATGACTCCAAGGTATTTTATTGCTTCTTGTGATAATATTTCATGCACGCCAATTATAATTTTCATCTTCTTTTTTTGCTTTCTTGCGGTTATCAGTATTGCTTCTGCTTTTTGCGCCGCCAACTCCAGTCCTGCATTTTTAAGTCATCGTTGTACTCTTGCTAGAGTACAGTATTTCATTGCAGTATGTCCTCCGCTGATAGCTTTGCAATATTTGTTACCGTTCTAATCGCATCGACCGTTGACCTAGCCCGCCGGAAACCGTACTGCTTATCAGAAAGGCCATTGGGACCTTCCAGATACTGCTGGAGACGTTCACTTATTATTCGTTCAAAAACCTTCCTTATTGTGTCCAACATACATAGTGGCCTATATGCAGATGGTTGGTTAGGTAGTTTTCCTGGTTTAAGCAATAGTACCAGTCGTTGCAATTTCCATCGCGTTGGAAAAATACCTTCAGTAAAACAGGTATTATATATATCCACGAATATGTGTGGTTTCGCTCGTACCGCAGCCTTGAATAATACATTGGGTACTCCATCCGGCCCCGAAGCCTTTCTATCTTTTATAGGACCCAATGTCTGCATCACTTCTTCTGATGCCACTGGTGGTATGTTGGCTTTCCAATTCACCTGAAACACCTGGTCGGTCATTTTCTCCTGTGGGAGAAAAAGTGCCAGAACAACCTCCTTCAATAGAACTGGGCATGTGGGCTGTGGGGACCTCGGTCCTTTTACTTTCTGTATGACGGTTTTGTAAGCCAGGCCCCATGGATCTTCATCAGCACTATCTCGCATTTGCTTAAAGCAACGCTTTTTGCTCTTTTCAATTGCTTTTTTAAGATCATGTTTTCGAATGCAATACTCTGCATATAGCTCATTAAAAGAACTACGTCGTCTAGCTCTTTGCGCTTTTCTTCGTGCTTTTATACAGGCCCTGCGTATATCGGCTATCTCGCTAGACCACCAATAAACAGGTTTTCGTTTGCCACTATATTTGGATCTTGGCAAAGTTATATCGCACGCAGTTTCCATTTGTATAGCGATTTGTTCTGCCATGTCTTCTTCGAAATAACATCGATGAAATTGAATAAGTATACTTGGTTCAACATTGTAAGCAGAATCGAATTGATAAGTGCTGAAGTTTTAAAAGAAATTCCTGCAAAATGCCTAGTTAAAATTACGAATATATTTAACGCTATAATACAGATGCGAAACCTTCCATCCCTGTGGAAAGTATCTGAAATTATCATGGTACATAAGCCAGGAAAGGATATTAATGACGTAAGTGGTTACAGACCAATAGCACTTCTGCCTGTACTTTCAAAAATATTTGAAAAAGTTTTACTGAAAAGAATCCTTCCTCTGATTGAAAGTCAAAACATAATACCTTTACATTAGTTTGGTTTTAGGTGCAATCACTCCACTATAGATCAAGTCCATAGGATTACCAATGTAATAGAAAAAGCTCTTGAAGAAAAAAAAATCTACTCAGCTGTCTCGCAGGCTTTCGATAAAGTCTGGCACTCCGGATTGCTTACCAAAGTAAAAAATATTCTCCCAACGGAGTATTATGACGTAATTTCCTCTTACTTATCTGATCGTTACTTTCGAGTAAAGCACAGTGATGCCTATAGCAAATTGCATAAAATTAACGCTGGAGTTCCACAAGGTAGTGTCTTGGGTCCTCTCTTATATCTCATTTATACACACGACTTGCCAACGTGTAAAGACGGAAATTGGTACCCAATTTCCGTATACATAATCGATCTCAACACCATTAAAACATATATTAACATGAAGCTCACTGGAAATTATACAAAGATCTGAAATTGAAATTTGAATTAACTAAACGAATTTGTATATTATATTGATTTCATATTTACTTTAGTTGTTGTTTGTTTTCCAAACACGCATAAATAGAAAACTAATAAAATTAAAGTCACTATAAAACACCAAGTAAATGAATTCATGTATTGTATTTTATTGAATTACTTTAGTTATTAACTTATTTTAACTAATCAAATGAATTCAGATATTACATTTTTTATTAATTACTTTATTTATTAATTTATTTACAAACACGCATAAAAATAAAATTAATAAAATGAAATAAATATAAACGTCATCGATCGAATGCGTTTCTTTAAAACCCACGTTGGTAAACAAAACAAGATATGTCAAAAGAAATTTTCGCCGCAAAGAGAAATCTAAGCGAAAACGAAGTATACATTCTGAGTACCGCACGCAAGATGAAACAAAAAACTACAGAACGGCAAAGTAAACAAGAAATGTGTGAGACCAGCTGTAAACAAAAATGATACGCTACGAAAAAGCTCGGTCGAGTGCGTATATAAGATGCGCATTTTTCTTGTAGAGTTGACTTGTAAAATATTTACTAAGGCACATACACCTGGGGATTACAAGTTGAAATTAGCACTAGTTGCACATAGAAGAATTTCGATATAAAGAAATTATTCATACGAAGGAATATATTTAATTTAAATTATTTCACTACGATCGGCTGTAGTACGCCTACTGTAAAGAAATAATTTTTAATAATATACAAAGGAATATATCCACATCAGGATATATTCATACGAAGGAATACTTTTAAATTTTAATCATTACACTACGATCGGCTGTCACACGAAGACATCATCAGTACCAGATCTCCACCAGGACATTCAAAACAATTATTGTACTCCGGGACAATTAGTAATCATCCTAATAATATCATTTTTTTTCCTTTAACTATTTCATTATTATATTATTTTTTTGAATTATAAAATTTTATTTATAATAAAGCCTAAATCTTGTAAATAAAATCACGTATTTGAATATTTTGGTTACAATTAAAAAATTTATTGTAACGAATCTGGACAGGTTGAGTATACGCCAGCAAATAAGCAACGACACCAAGAAAGGGTCGTTACAGTTGGCGCCCGAGCAGGGACCAAAATATTCAAAGCTCAGTAAACAAATTCAAACAAAATGTCAATCACAGTAAAAGGAAAAGTAGACGTGGTCGAACAGGAATCTCGAAAGAGTGGGAATCTAAGCAAGTCTTGGGTATATAACGCCAGGAAAGAAGAATTAGTATCTAATGCTACAGAATTTGGGCTTGAAGCTACTGGATCTGTAGAAGAATTACGAAAAAGAATAACTAACTTCATTGATGACGATGATCTAGATACAAACACCACACAGAGGTTGAAAGAACTGGCCCTCCGACACAGCCGGTCCACACCAACCCTTCAGGTCCCAGGCAATGAAACGAGTCCTATATATCCTCCTTCACACTCATATCTACAAACCATCAAACACGTACAAAAGTGGTCGGTTAAATATGATGGAGGTAAAGATCCATTGGCATTCATCGAACGAGTCGAAGAATTAGCGGAGACTTATGACATAAATGTACATCTACTTCCCCGTACGATGCCTCAATTACTCAAAGACGAGGCTCTTGCTTGGTACAGGAACAATAACCAGCATTGGAAGTCGTGGACAGCATTCAAAATTGACTTTTTCTTATTTTTCCTGCCAGCCCGATACTTTGAAAAACTTGAAGATGAAATCCGAGCACGCATACAGAAACCCCGAGAAACTTTCAAAGTCTATGTCGGAGCTCTTCAAACATTAATGTGACACGCGGATATGACATCAACTGCACAACTCGAACGAATATACCGGAATACACATCCTGATTATCAATTATACATCCGTCGACGAGACTTCAAAACGTTAGGGGAATTAATCTTAATGGTAGGCGAATATGAAACCATTCGTATAGAGCAAGACAAAGCCACACCTCAACGAACGAGAGATGAAAGAAATCACATAGTACAAGCCCCTGAACAAAGGACTCCAGATGTAAAGAAGGCCTGCAGACGATGTGGTAAACAAGGGCACATCGCAAGAGGATGTAGAAATCAACAGGTTTGGTTCTGTTGGATCTGCGGAAATAGACGAGATTCGGGAAACGGCGAAGGGGAACGTCCGGCAGCAGGAAGGACGTTCACACAAAACCACGACCCTGCGAAATTCTAGAGGATATCCAATTTAACGAGGCTCGTATTGTGGTCAAGGTCCAACTTAATGGAAAAACACTGGAAGCAACGTTGGATACCGGAGCCTCTAGGAGTTTCATCAGCGAGTCCTTGGCACGAACTTTAAATACGGAATTTCGAAGGGATCTTCCATTGACACGAATACGTATGGCGGACGGCAGCTCGAAACATATTGACTAAGAGGTTGCAGCCAATATCAAACTAGGCCAACAGACGGTTCAAGGCGATCTTCTCATTCTGCCTGAAAGTGTCGATCCTCTTATACTCGGTTTGGATTTCTTCAAAGCAATGGGAGCTATAATAACAATAGGTGGAATAAATGTCAGGCTAAAGGAAACCAAGAAAACGACATGTTGGAAAAGACCTGTTATGTAGGCCTGTGTGGAAATAAAATGGTAATACAATAAGAATAAAAGAAATATTACAGACATTACCTCGGTTTACCCGCGACGCCCATAAGCACGGCCAATGTCCGTACCGGTGGTTGTGTTTTTTTGTTAGGTGAGCGTGCACTTCACCATTTGAATCCGCACCAGATCCCATTGTTTTATTTTCTGCTTTGCGAATAATTTTTTTATATTAGAGTATAATTTTTTTTATATATATAATTACTTTGTTTGTTTTTTTATATATATATAAATTATTCACTAATCTTCAATCACTAAAAATTAGAAATGTGGATTGCTCGCACAATCAAAATAAAGAAATATGTAAAAGCTTTGGTACATTTTTTTGTTTTGGTTTCTTTTGATCAAAGTGACAGCAAAAGCTTTAGGAGTTGTAAAGATCAATGCTGCCAGAGCAATGCACAATAGAAGTATTAGAATAAGGTAAAAAAAGAAAAAAGTAGGTAATGCAGGTGGGGCGTAGAACGACCTCCAAAAGTGTACGGGATGAGTTTACAACGGGTAAAATTACGGAAAGATGATAGACATAAAAAGGAAACAGTGTTTGCTAGCGGCCTTCTTGAAAAAGTATTTTGAAAGGTGACGGT